TAGTAGACCCAAAAACCGATTAAATAAGCATTTGAAACCCCTAAATTGTCATATTTTTCGGGGGTTTTGAGCGACGCCCTACCACGCCCACTTCGTCGGGGACATTGGCCCTCTCGTCGGGGACCTCGGACCCCCCCCCCCCCCCGTCGGGGAAATCCTGGGGCCACCACTGGTTGACAACGATTGAAAAGCAAAAAATCAGCGAATTTTATAAATTCAATATTCAACTTTCGCCGTTGGTAAAACGTTTCCCATAAGAGGACAGTCAACTGAAATGTCCGTCTACCGACCGGCTTATACTGCAGTCACACGTAAATACATTTTTGTAAACTTCAATGTACTATTAAAATCGACTGCTGTTAGACATAGCCCCTACCCCAGCACAAAAGCCCTCTTCGGCAACAGCTGAAGCCTCGTAAATATACATTCCAGATATGTTCATCACGTTAGGTGTCTCTCAATTTCACATTTTCGTTTTATTGCAAAAAAATTACTTTTAAGTCAACACTCGCTTTTTTTTTCCGAGTGGCGAATCAGAATAAAACATATTAGGCCTACTACTAAATATTCAATATTTTTTATTTATTTATTAAATTCAACACCTATACAATTTTAAGAGCAAACCATTGGCCACATGCCAAACAATGTGGGATTCTCTAAACAAAGTAGACTCTACAGAGTCCATCCAGCTTAGCAAATCTAAGCACTATCAACAAATTAAAATGTACTAAATTTACAAGACATTGTATAAAAAATAAAGATTTATACATGATTTATTAAATAATTAACTATTAAAATATAATTACAAAGATGACTACAGTTTTACATTAGAAAACTAGGCTAGGCTTTATGCCTTAGTTTAGAAAACAATAATATACCGGTAGTTATTTTTTATTTTAATAATAGGGCCTACAAAGTACATGCGTTTTATATAGGTGTAGTAGCACAGGTATGTATAATTCAACACTCCATGGATAAAAAACAATGAAAGGTGAATTCACGTTCACTCCACACCATGGCCCCATACTCCCCCGGCCCATACCGTTTTCTAGTGTTGCACATATTTTTACATGGAACTAAGAATTTTCGAAATATAATAATATAATTACAAATCATGTTGGCTACCTTTAGAAGACTGTGATTCACCCAGCGTGTTCTGGGAAGGAATAGAATTACTTCTGATCATAATTCTTCGTTGGTAATATATGAATGACGCTAGATTCAGACAATTATTCGAGAGCTTTGTACATACAGAGCAGTTAGTTTGAATATCAAACAGATATGGCTGCCGTTTTTGTTTGTCCAGCGTTGCTGCTATGATACAGGGCAAACGTCACAATACATTCACGCGAGCGAAACATGCGCGTAGCTCGCGCAGTGTCAACGCATAGTACGGGAACGAAAATATGTTCATATCTCATCAGGAAGTCCGATCCGTGTCCAAGTTTTCTACAAGTTGACAACAAGGTTGGCGGCGGGGTCCGGGGTGGGGGGTCTGGGAGAAAAAAAAAATGTATGTGTTTTTTTACATATTAGTAGTAGGCTAGACCCCAAAACCGATTAAATAAGCATTTGAAACCCCTAAATTGTGATATTTTTCGGGGGTTTTGAGCGACGCCCTACCACGCCCACTTCGTCGGGACATCAGCGAATTTTATAAATAATTCAGTATTCAACTTTCGCCGTTGGTAAAACGTTTCCCATAAGAGGACAGTCAACTGAAATGTCCGTCTACCAACCGGCTTATACTGTAGTCACACGTAAATATATTTTTGTAAACTTCAATGTATTAAAATCGATTGCTGTTAGACATAGCCCCTACCCCAGCACGAAGGCCCTCTTCGGTAACAGCTGAAGCCTCGTAAATATATATTCCAGATATGTTCATCACGTTAGGTGTCTCTCAATTTCACAGTTTCGTTTTATTGCAAAAAAATTTACTTTTAAGTCAGCACTTGCTTTTTTTCCCGAGTGGCGAATCAGAATAAAACATATTACTGTACTACTAAATATTCAATATTTTTATAAGTATATTAAGATCTTTATGACCATTTTAATAATACGATGCGATACGATTTCCATCAAAATCAATAATAAAATACAATATGAACACATCATGAGAAATAATTTTTTTAAATGAGATACGGATGAAGGAGATATAATGAAAAGCAATTTCAAATACCGTTTAAAATTGTACCACCTTGCTGTTGTTTACATGTACGTTTGTAGTTTGTTTAATCATTATACTTCCATGTTTTCAATATTGTTATGTGTTATAATTAATTTGATAAGTGACCGGGGGAAATCAGCCTAGATCAACATGTACATACTCTAAGTATATACACATTAATTTACAATAAGTTCAATCAATCAATACAACCAGTAAAAATTGTCAATTTTATTGATATTTAATTGTCGGAATATCAATCTTTGTTCATTGTTAGTAATTTGTTAAGAGAGTTCCTTATTGGACTCTAATCATACCAACCTCTCAAACATAGGCTTCAAAACATAAAAGACTATTTATACCAGAATTTTAAAACTCTTTAAAAATTAAATTACTATTTATGAATCTATTATTGACCAGAAAACCCCACTTTCTCGTTTTGATTTGTCTATCTGTCATGTGAACCAAAAAAAAAAAAAAAAAAAAAAAAAATGAAAAATCCAATCAGACAATTTTTGAATTGTTTAATTATATTTACATATGTAAATGACAAAAAAATAACATAAAATTAAAATTAACTAGATCATTTTGCTGTAACATACAAATGATTAACTTGAGCATAGAAATTATTAAAACTACCTCGAAAAAAAGCCCAGAAGCGTTTATTTTTTTCCTCGAATAAAGCACATGTCCTACACAAATCTAATGGAAACAACATCATTGTCAACACAAGTTCTATTAATGTTTACTCTGAATTATATTTAACATGTTTGGGATCAATACGTCGTTATGTTCACGCAGTAACACATGTTGATGGTAGGCCTAATTATGTGTTGTATAGTTGTTCCAGACTGACCTGAGCATTTTCATGATATTTTTCTGTCATGGGGTCGTTCTTGGGTGTCCTCTCATTCTTCTGCCTTCAACGGAGCCCTGGAGGATGGTGTGAGAGACAGTCTTAATACTTAATGCATAATTAAGATTGCAAAATTTTTTCAACTTTTAAATGCAATTATATATAGGCCTATATGAGTATAGGGTCTGTATTTCAATTAATTTGATCAACTAAAAAGCGATAATTAAAAAAGTCTGTCGCAGTTGACGTTTACACGAGGCTTAGTGGCGCACGCCCCCCCCCCTTTTAAATAGCTTGTCATGCCTGCCCAGCGATGGCTCTACGATACGTTCTAGGAGAACCGTTAGACAAGAGGTATGACAAACTTCAGGGTCCTGGAGAATATCCTTTTAATGGGCTCTGAGATGAATTAGGCGATTTTGCGTCACTTAACGTCTTAGAACTATAATAATGTATGAAAGATAAATCTCAATACTGGCCAGAAGGCCGAAACCTATAAAAACTCTAGTAATTTAAAGATTTGAGGGAATTTATAATCTTAATTTTAGAATTCCTGGTCCATTTGGCGTAAGTCACAACATTGAGTAGCAGCCGTGACACGCGCGAATAAGCAGCAATCCAACTACCGTATTCCAGGGGGATCCAGAAAGGGGACCGAAGTGGCCCCGATCGAGACAACACTACCCTAGGGGGTCCCAGGTGAGTCTCCCGCGATTTTTTTTGGTTTTTTTTACGACCGAAAATAACTTCTGAGGCGTTTTGGGCGATCAATTAGGCCTATTACTCTTCCTTCCTTTCTTTTTTTTTTAAATTTTTAAAAATTCCTTACACCCTAAAAATCCGCCCCCTGTATTCGCAGTCAGTCGATCTGTCCCGGTCTCCATCCATCTGGGTCGCAGTCTTAGTAAGGTTTTCAGTTTCGATACCGGTATATCATTAGAATCCCGTTCATTGCACCATGTAGGCCTACATCGTCCTGGATTTAGAACTACAATATTTAATATAAAAAATAAACTGACCTCACCACTCTCGCAAGTAAAAATCTTGAATAATTTTATTTATATTTTAAAACAATCACTTTTTTTTAAATAATCCAATCAATATTGGGACCGTGGGTTCGGAAATGATTTGAGCAAGGAGTGGATTATGAGTTCTTCTTGTGTCAATTACAAGTAAGTATTTCTCCTGGACAGATGAGAGCTCAATACAGTATTTTTCCAACTTTCCTCTTATACATTTGGGAATGACTAGTCGTGAATTCTCTTTTTTTTCCCCTGACAATATTGTACCCTAGCATGTTGAGCAAGAAACCCTGCAATTCAATCCTGCTAATCTCAATCGGCAAATGGACAGCTTGCCACCACAACCACTAATAATTTCATCTGCTGTTGAGTAAATACCCATAGGTCTACTTTTCATGAGTCATGCTCTCTCTCTCTTTCTGGACGAATCTTTTCTGAACCAGTAGGTACCATTCGTTTATATTCGGTTTCTAGATGTCCTTAGGCTTCTTTTTTTTTTTCATTCAAAGATCGCCTATTGAATTTCCAAGTTCCCATAAGCACGTCCCTTCAATTTTCATCTATTTCCATAAGCGCCCCCTCAACTTCCACTCTATTTCCCTTTGAATAAGCGTCCCCTCAAAAAAAGCGGAAAATATTTCAAGCGCCCGGCGCTTATCGTGGGTCGACTTCGGAGGTGCGCGAACAGCAATTGTGGGATTTATGAACAATCTTGAATACGTGTTTTTGGTCATTGAACAAGATTTATTTTTTTTGTAAATATAGTTGTTTGAAAATATTTATGTTCTTTAATGACACTGTGTTTTTTGACAAAAATCAAGACATTTTTCTGAAGGTTTGACACGACTGTACACAGAGTCTATGATTTAATAGATTTACAATTGAGGGCGGAAGTTATTTTCAAAGGTCAGTAAATCCGGGTTCTCTTGATATAGAAAAATCCAATGGCAATTTGAGGCAAGGGTCACATGGTACCTTAGGTCATGTTCGGGTAGCAACACAAGCAAATCCTACGGTAAAGAGAAAGTAACAAATTGAAAAGAAAGGTTGATAGTAAGCACATTATTTACGGGTTGAAATTTACGAAGGTTTGATATGGAATATTCTTCGTGTAAATGCCTTCAATTTGAGATTCTTTTTATACCCAACGGATATATTTTGTGAAGCTGAGAAGGAATTTTTCGATCGTTTTTTATCTGTGTGAGCTATCACAGTCGGTCCTCAACGTAGCCTCTGGGGCCAGTCACCTCCATCATATCCAGAGATACCAAGCTAGGATTGTTTTATTGCATCTAGCCTAGATGCTGATAATAATATTGAATTGTGTTCATTAATCACTTACGAAGGAAAGCTCTACACGAACTCTATAGTAAGGAATTAAACTTATGCTCTCTTCCAATATCTATCCTACGTATTTATATAATTATGAGAAAAACATGCATTTATTTTGTTCTTAGGCATGTCGACATCGTTGACAGTTGTCGATGTTTGAATGGAAAACTCAAGAGAGTTCAACATCAATCAGTCAGTAAGGCAGGCACTTATATAACAACTCCCTGATCTAGGACCTAGTTTATTGGGGTTCATTAATGCTGGGAGAAAGTTTTACTTGTCTTTGTATTCGCTAATGCACTTGCCTAACCTTAAACGACATCATTAAGATAGCGGGACTGAGTTAGCCTAAATATTATTGTTATCTCATGACTGAACAATTGCATTCCGCTAGGCTAGGCCTGGTTTATATAGCATCATTCCATCATGTAAGTGGCTAGTGTACTTGCTGTTGGATGTAAAGTAAAAACAAAATTTATATCAAAAATAGTGACCCGACGTGTTTAGCAAGCTTTTTTCGCTGTGGATGATCTTCTGACATGCCATATAGCCTAGTGGTGGATTAAGATAGCAAGACTGAAGTGTAGGGTCAAGTCAACTTTTCTTTTACCTTTACGTTTGTATTTACCTTTGTTCTTTGAGACTTAGTGTCTAGCACATTTGTCCCTCAGTACATCATAAAATCCTCCAGGTATAGGATATAAACAAAACCTCAGATTTATGTTTTTTCCAAACCATCTCTTCCTTTTGTGATACCCATCTACCCACCAGACCCTGAAAGTATAATAATTTATTATTGTTTTCTTTATAATATTACACCTTGGATAATTTTCCTCATGTTGAAGCACATTAAGGTAGCAAGATTAAAAGTTAAAAGGTTTGTTCAATCAAGCCACCACCAATCAACACCTCAGATTTACCATTGAAACAATATTCACATCCTAATTAATATCATTTGCCTAATTTAATACTATCATACGCTGACAACACCCTTCCCATAGATGTTTGTAGTCATGAAAATGGTTTCGAAAGTGAATGGCTTCTTTGCACGTTCAACATTGTTAGTGTCAACGTTGGCCTAGTAAATAATATAATGATCATTTGGAATCATCTTAAATTAAATCTTAGAGCTTGTCTTAAAAGTTGATCCCACCATAATGTGAAGTATATTTTATATTTGTGTGGAGGATGTCTTGGAAACCAACTAAATTTGTTGCTTAAAATCAGTTGTGGAAAAATGCAACTACTGATTAATAAAATTTGTCATATTAACAGATAAGGGGCCTAATTTTCTGCAAAAGTTGCACAGAAATCAGTCCTTTTTTTTTTCGAAATGTGTGGATGCAAATTATTAATTTATTACAGGTACTATAATTAGAAAATCTACATTTTTTATGATGAATTATTTATCAGTTTTCATTTTTATATTAATATGCTATGATTTAAACTGAACTCGCTCAAATTTGGCTTACGGAATAGTATGATTATTTATCATTGAATACTGAACGGTTTCAATTCTTTTTAAAGCAAAATGAGCCAGATTCCAACAACAACGTTACCAGCCTCTGACAAGATAGATCCGTTCACAAAAAAGTCCATGAGAAAAGGAAAACAGAAGAAATCACAAGGGTCTTCAAAATACAGGACTAAAAACAATGTGGAACTTACACCTCTTCCACTACTCAAAGGTGAGTTTTTGTTAATGAATTGTACAGAATATTATGCATGAGTGATCATGGGACACATTACCAGTACTGTACTGTATAATGAATGAATTTTGGACTTGGATGTTGTATAGAAATCTCATTGCACTTAAAAAGAAGGAACAATAGTACAACTTCCCAATCAAACACTCATGGTTTGTGCAGGAATTTGTAAGGTTTACTATTAAATAAAAGTTACAAACACAAACAAATCAGAAAATATCTTCGAGAGTGAACCAGAGTTTATTGTTTTTTTTGTCACCCACATTATGCACTTGACATTGACAAACTATGATAAAAACTGTATTTACTTTGTGTGCTGGTACCCTCAGGCCTCGAATTTGGGGATTTTATATGCAAGGCCAAATGGCCTCCGGTATGACATTATTTTGGAAGGCACCAAGGCCAAAATTTCAAATATAAAAGGGCACCAAGGCAAAATTTGATTTAGCCTCAGTACTATCTCTCGCGAGTGCCTTGATTCATAGCCAGGCTAGGCCTAGGCAAGCTAGGCCTAGCCAAGCCATCGTTGTCAATTGTAAAATGACTTTGTTATTGAGTATTAACTATTAATTATCGATTCAATGTTGGAATATACTTTAGTTTTTTTGCGGCGGTCGGCAATCATAAACAAAAAGTCAAAGTTCAAGAATTTCAATATCTGATGTTGCTTCAGTGCGTCGTCATCGGAGAGAAGCACACAGGTCTCTAAACTGGCCGTCTTCAACTAGATTAGCCGAGTGTCAACCAATTAGGTTAATTTCACACGCTTGAGCTGCGATGATGTCAGATCGCCCAAAGCTAGCTGCACAGCAAGCACATGTTTACAACCTTACTGCCCATTACAACCCATTATTTCGTTCTACTGCAGTATTTTCTTGCTATATTTAATCACAGTAATTAAGTTTTTACTGATTTTGTTATTGTTGCACATCTTTTACGGTTGTGCCTCTTATAAGAGAGAAGCAATAAAAGTTACTTACTTACTGCAATTACCGCTCGAGTCAGATGCATGCGCACACAACGGTAACCGCAAAAACAGTTCGTATCAACACACACATGGAAATTCTCTCATGTTCTGTCACTGCAACCTTATCTACTGTGGTCCTAGGCGACCTACGTTTTTGGCTTTCATGATTTCTTTCAAGATTTGAACGTTCTTATTTAGATTTATTTTACGTGTCAAACGATCTATATTAAGCGTCGTGAGGGCACCGCAACCAAGGCTGCAAAAGGGCAGTCGTAGTGGCCGTCATCGTGCTTCATTTTCAGGGGCACCAAGGCCAACTGGGAGGGCACCGTCGGCAATGGCCGCGGTAAAATTTGAGGCCTGTATTCTTGTTAGTTTATTTTTACTCCAATAATAAAACAACTCATTAATTTATATATTGGAAGTACTTCTGGATGAGGCTCTGGCAAAAATGGCAGTGAAAGAAGTAAATAGAAAAGTAAAACGGCAAAGAAGAAGATCAAAATTAACATAGATCACAAAAGATGAAAAGGAACTAGAACATTTAATTATAAACAAAACACCCATGACAAGCAGATAGCACGAAATAGTGGAAGTGTCATGTTTCAAGACGAGAGGTGTTACTGATGTAAGATGATAACTAGTTTTTTTTTTGTTTTTTTCCCTATAATACAGTATAAGATATTTATAAGAAGGTTTTTCTAATAAAATATAGTATAGTTTTGATTGTATTTTGCTTGAAGACAGTGTATTTACTGCCAATGCTGTATTCCTGTTTACTGTAAGTTTTTACTTACAAGTTATAATATCGTCGCTCACATCACGAACTAACACAATTAAATTCAATTGTGTTAGTTCGTGAAATCAAAAAAGCGCGTCAAAATACGCGCTGCTGTCGTTAAGGACTTTTTGTATGGTAAAGAATACAAAATTGCTTGACAACCAATACGCGCTCGTTTTGACGCGCTACTGTGATTTCACGAACTAACACAATCTACTTTGATTGTGTTAGTTCGTGATGTGAGCGACGATATATACATCATCATTTTGAGATACTTTGTAATATTCCCAAATTCTAAAATTACAAATAAATATTCATGATCGAAGATTTAAAGCTCTGTGAAATACAGGATATTTCTTGGAACGCTCATGCATTTTACATTCTTAAAACAAATGATGGCTTGTAGTTTAGGCCCTATAAAAAATATTAAATTTATCACCCTATCTGGGCAGGAAAAGTGATGAGGGAGGGAGGATTTTTTTTTTAATTTTTAATTTTTCTAAAGTCAAATATCACCCTTGGGTTGTTTGCTGGTGCATTGATATTCAAAGTAAAACATGATTTAGATAATGGAAACAATATCTACTATTACTAACTATTTAATAAAATTTATGAAAAAAAATAAAGAAATTAAAAAAAAAAAAATTGTTAAAATTTGTTTTTTTTTTTTTTTTTTCAAAAAAAGATTAATTTTTTTTTTATGATAGAAGACATGCACACAGGGGTGGTAACTAATAATTTTTTTTTATTGGGCCTTAGTCTCATTTTTCAACACCAATCTGTTAATCTTTTTTTTTTTTTGCGTTGGAATTTACATAAACATGCAAATGGAAACTGCCAACTATATTCTTATTTCCTTCCTTTAAAATCTGTGCTTTTCCTGTTTGGTTTTTGCCATTCTTTAGTCCACAAACCTTGAAGTGAAGTATACTGTAATATTGTATATTATAATAATTGATTTTACTATACTATAATAAATTACATAGTTCTTTCTGGTTTATTCCAATACTACTAGTTGATCCCAGATTTTATTTCATTTGTGTTAATTAGACATTTCTGTGAAAATAGGAGTTTCAATTTTAAATTTGTGGTTTCATTACACTGATACTACAGGTACTGTAGTTCTTCCATTGTAAAAAATATGAAATATCCAACTAAATAGCACACATAAAAACAACAATTAAAAGTCTTACAGTATACAGTATAGATACAAAAGATAATGTACCATAAACATAAAATCATACATTTTCTCTGAAATTTTTCTTTTAACCATTTCCTTATTTTGAATGTCAATGTTTTGTCATCTTGAAGTTGGGATAATTCAGATTATATACAGTAAAATAATAACCACCACAGCAAAATTAATGAAAATTTAATGGAAAATTTGTTGAATGTCCCCTAGGGAAGTCCCTGGAAGTCATGATGAAACCTGCATCTTCATGTCAGTGCTCACTATCCCTCACACCTTCACATGTTTCCTGAATACAAAGTCAAGGGCAGTGTTTGAGAACTTGTAGAATTTTTTTTGTTGATGAATATATTTAGTAGTAAATTTGTCTTTAAAAAAAATTTATTTTAAAGGCAGTGATACTTAATGTAATAAATGTCCTCATGGGCAATGAAAACAAATACAAATTATTTTCTACATTTTATATGTTTTAGAGCTAAAATATTGTAGAATTAATTAACAATTAAAGGGGAAGTGCGGGGATGAAATGATTAATTTTTAATTTAAAATAGAGGGATGGGCGACTATAATG